AGTCAGAGGGCAGAAGAGGGGTTGTTGAGGTGGTTTGGTCATTTAGAGAGAATGGATCAAAGTAGAATGATATGTAAAGCATATAAATCTGTAGGGGAAGGAAGGAGGGGTAGGGGTCGTCCTCGAAAGGGTTGGAGAGAGGGGGTAAAGGAGGTTTTGTGGGCAAGGGGCTTGGACTTCCAGCAAGCGTGCGTGAGCGTGTTAGATAGGAGTGAATGGAGACGAATGATACTTGGGGCCTGACGATCTGTTGGAGTGTGAGCAGGGTAATATTTAGTGAAGGGAAATGGGAAGTACAATGCCTGCACTTTAAAGGAGGGGTTTGGGATATTGGCAGTTTGGAGGGATATGTTGTGTATCTTTATATGTGTATGCTTCTAAACTGTTGTATTCTGAGCCCCTCTACAAAAACAGTGATAATGTGTGAGTGTGGTGAAAGTGTTGAATGATGATGAAATTTTCTTTTTGGGGATTTTCTTTCTTTTTTGGGTCACCCTGCCTCGGTGGGAGACGGCCGACTTGTTGAATATATATATATTATATATATATATATAATATATAATTATTATATATAATATATATATAATAATATATATAATATATATATATTATATATATAATAACAATATATATACATATATGTATATAACAATATATATTTTTTCCCCACAAGCGTCATGTGCGCCCCTCATAGGTGCTGCATAACCCTTACAAGTTTAGCTTTTATTTTTGAACATAATAGCAATTTACTTGACAGGTATTATCACCACCGTTACTACCCGTGGGAGGACTGCCCTCTCTGCAGCCCGGAGTACTCATACCTGCCCCGGTACCCACGACTCACCCGGTACTACCCTGCCTGTGACCACCTCCACCACTAGCCTCACCGCCCGCCCGCCCACACCCACTCGTCACCACCACCATCCACACCCACCTGTCAACATCACTACCACCGCCCACTAACACCACTACCAGCGCCTCACGTTGCGGCGGCGGCGGCGTCGTCAGTGACCTGACGTGTTCTCTTGTATTGTCTTGGCTGTTAGTCTTCTCTTGATAACCTGCTTCTTGTTGGATCCAAATAACGTACTACCGACGGTAGTAAACATATACAGTTTATAATAAGCTTTTACCAGGACGATGTTTCTCTCTGTGCAGAGCTATATTTGAATACTTGGCTAATGGTCAGTAAAGTTCTACATAGAGCGAAACGTTGTCATAATTAAAGTTTGTTTTTACAACGTATCTTTTCTCTGAAAAACTTGAAATCGAGCAATTTTATGCGTTTATCTTTAAGATTTTCAGTCATAAAAGAACCTTAGAAATCTTACCTAATCTTATTATAACAAGCACAGTATAATTTAGCCTACTCCAACTAAATATATTTTAGATAAATTTACAGTAATTTAACAAACAAACATAATGAAATATTTTTTTTCGTTATGTTCAGAATTATTTTTGCGAAATTATTGCATACACAAATTTTCGCTTGTCGTATTCGGCAAGATGAGCGTGCTATTTAAGCCAAAATCTCAAGTTTTACCTATTCGTCACGACATTCTTCCTCCGTAAGCCATGCGTGTCGTAAGAGGCGACCAAAATGCCGGGAGCAAGGGGCTAGTAACCCCTTGCAGCGCTGTATAGCCCTTGCGGCTTAGCGCTTCTTTTTTATTATAATAATAATAGTAACCCCTTCTCCTGTATATATACATTACTAAATTTGAAAGGGGAAACTTTCGTTTTACCTTTTGGGCCACCCTGCCTCGGTGGGCCACCCTGCCTCGGTGGGCCACCCTGCCTCGGTGGTCCACCCTGCCTCGGTGGGCCACCCTGCCTCGGTGGTCCACCCTGCCTCGGTGGTCCACCCTGCCTCGGTGGTCACCCTGCCTCGGTGGTCCACCCTGCCTCGGTGGTCCACCCTGCCTCGGTGGTCCACCCTGCCTCGGTGGTCCACCCTGCCTCGGTGGTCCACCCTGCCTCGGTGGTCCACCCTGCCTCGGTGGGCCACCCTGCCTCGGTGGGCCACCCTGCCTCGGTGGGCCACCCTGCCTCGGTGGGCCACCCTGCCTCGGTGGGCCACCCTGCCTCGGTGAGCCACCCTGCCTCGGTGGGCCACCCTGCTCCGGTGGGCCACCCTGCCTCGGTGGGCCACCCTGCCTCGGTGGGCCACCCTGCCTCGGTGGGCCACCCGCCTCGGTGGCCACCCCGCCTCGGTGGGCCACCCTGCCTCGGTGGGCCACCCTGCCTCGGTGGGCCACCCTGCCTCGGTGGGCCACCCTGCCTCGGTGGGCCATCCTGCCTCGGTGGTCCACCCTGCCTCGGTGGGCCACCCTGCCTCGGTGGGCCACCCTGCCTCGGTGGGCCACCCTGCCTCGGTGGGCCACCCTGCCTCGGTGGTCCACCCTGCCTCGGTGGGCCACCCTGCCTCGGTGGGCCACCCTGCCTCTGTGGGATACGGCCGGTTTGTTGACCTTATCTTCACAAATAATGAGGACCTGATAAGAGACATAAGAATATCAAAAACAACTAATTCCGATCACAATCTAATCGAAGTCCAGACGTACATGCATAGGGGTCCTGAACAGCAGAATGCATGTACCGGTGAAGGTGTCTTCACAAAATACAATTTCAACAACAAGAACATCAACTGGGACCAGGTAAACCATGTCCTAAACGAAACATGTTGGGAAGATGTCTTAAATGACATGGACCCAAACCAGTGCCTTGAAAGGATCAACTTCCTGGTAGCCGAAGCATTCTGGGCATATTCCCTAAGAAAGAAGAAGAGCAGGAGTAAATTGGAGAGAAAAAGACGCTCCCTCTACAGAAGACGACGAAGAGTCACTGAGCTCCTCAGGAGTGCTAGAATATCTGATGCACGAAAGGGGGGCGCTGACCAGGGAAGTGGAAACTATCGAATTAAGCTAAATGACTCTTACAGGAACCAGGAGAGGCAGGAGGAGCTTAAAGCTATTAGTGAAATTGAAAGAAATTCAAAATATTTCTTTTCATATGCCAAAAACAAGGAAAAATACCACATCTAGTATCGGGCCCCTTACTCAGACAGGATGGGACTTACACAGACGACAACAAGGAAATGAGTGAAATATTGAAATCCAGTACGACTCTGTGTTTAGTGAACCACTAATCGGTCTGAGGATCGACGACCCAAATGATTTCTTCATGAATGAGCCTCAAAACTCCATAAATGTATGCCAGATTTCCGACATTACCCTAACTCCGTAGATTTCGAAAAAAGCCATTGACAACCATGCCTATGCACTCAGCCCGGGCCCAGACTCGTGGAACTCTGTTTTCATTAAGAACTGCAAGAAACCCCTCTCGCGTGCCCTAAGTACACTATGGAGGAGGAGCTTGGACATGGGTGAGATTCCACAGTCACTTAAAACAACGGATATAGCCCCGCTCCATAAGGGTGGCAGCAAGCATTAGCTAAGAACTATAGACCAATAGCTCTGAGTCCCACATCATAAAAATCTTTGAAAGAGTGCTAAGAAGCAGGATTGCAAATCACCTGGATTCCCAAAATCTGCCAATCCAGGGCAACATGGGTTCAGGGCAGGTCGCCCCGCCTCTCACAACTACTGGATCACTATGACATGGCCTTGGATGCACTGGAAAAAATCAAAAATGCAGATGTAATTACACAGATTTTTGCAAAAGCATTTGACAAATGCGATCATGGTGTAATAGCCATAAAATACGTGCTAAAGGAATAACGGGGAAAAGTGGGGAGATGGATCTTCAACTTCCTAACAAATCGAACAAAAAGAGTAGGGGTTTCAACAGAGTTAAATCGGGGGCTGCCATAGTGAAGAGCTCTGTTCCCAAGGCACGTACTCGCCCCCATTTTTATTCCTTATCCTCATATCAGACTAAACAGAGATATTACACCACAGCACCGTATCATCCTTTGCGGATGATACTAGGATCTGCATGAGGCTGTCATCTGCTGAGGACGCGTTAACCTCCAAGAAGATATAAACAAAGTTTTCCAGTGGGCAACGGTAAAAAAATATGATGTTCAATGAGGACAAATTCCAAACTACTCCGTTATGGAAAACTGGAGGAGATAATAACTAGAACAGAGTATACTACTGACTCGGCCATACAATAGAGCGGAAAAAAAATGTAAGGGACCTGGGAGTAGTAATGTCTGAGGATCTCACTTTCAAGGATCACAACAGTGCCACGATCGCACGTGCAAAGAAAATGATAGGATGGATAATGAAAAACTTTCAAACGAGAGATGCCAACCCTGATGATCCTTTTCACAATCACTTGTTCTCTCTAGGCTGGAATACTGCTGTACATTAACATCTCCATTACAAAGCAGGTGAAATCGCAGATCTAGAGAGTGTACAGAGATCCTTTACTGCACGTATAAGTTCTGTCAAGCACCTTAACTACTGGGAACGCTTGAAAGCACTTGACTTTTACTCGTTGGAACGCAGGAGGGGGGAGTATATCATAATCTACACTTGGAAAATCTTGGAAGAATGGGGCCCAAATCTGCACACAGAAATCACTCCCTACGAAAGTAAAAGGACTGGGCAGGCGATGCAAAAAATTTCCGCCAATAAAAAGTAGGGGCGCCATTGGTACACTAAGAAAAAAACACCATAATGTCCGGGGCCCAAAACTGTTCAACAGCCTCCCATCAAGCATTAGGGGAATTGCAATAAACCCCTGGCTGCCTTCAAGAGAGAGCTGGACAGATACCTAAAGTCAGTGCCGGATCAGCCGGGCTGTGGCTCGTACGTCGGACTGCGTGCGGCCAGCAGTAACACCTAGTTGATTGGCCCCGATCCATCGGGAGGCCTGGTCGTGGACGGGCCGCGGGGCGTTGATCCCGGAATAACCTCCAGGTATATATATATATATATATATATAATATATATATATATATATATAAATCTAAATGCACATTCATATGAAAACCTCTTTTGCTATATTTATTAAGAAGCACTAAATCCGTATGGGTTATATAGTGTCATGCTTAAATGAGAAGTAATCGGGTTTCATTCAATGGAGAAGGTAGCTCTGATTCCTTGGATTAAGTGTTTTTCTCCGGCATCACAGGGTTGTGCTTCTATAACTGTTGCAGTAATTACGTGGGTGTTCACAGATAAACTTCAAACATTATTATTATAATCAAAAGAAGCGCTAAACCGCAAGGGTTTAAACATCCAACAGCTAGTAACTCTTATCAACGAGGATTTAGAAGGAAGAAAGGGATAATATGCAACAGCATATTTATAATTAGTCACTGTAGTGATTTCTTAGTTGGATGGTTGTGGCTCTCATTACTTAGCCATGATGGTGAAATCGATTATTTTAGTTTTTAGAATACACTGGTAGTGGTAATACCATTTTTTATAACAATAATAATAATAGATTAGTATCTTAGATCAAAGGTATGTAATACCGACAAGTTGATGAATAAGACGCATGGGGAAACTTAGATATCTTTATTGATAGACATTCGCTCGTCGTAACTTATTAGTGATAAAGCACCCAAAGAGCGAAAAGTCCAAAAAAAGAGACCAAGTGTTGCACAGTGTTTTTTCTCACAATGATAAAAATACTAAAACGCCTAATATTTAAGGGCAACATGGTATTTTCACTGAAAAATTGGCTTTTTTTTTTTTGTCCCGATTGGCGGATTTCGTCCTGAGAGTAACACAGGGAAATTTAGACATTAATGCGGACAATCTCGAGTGTCCGGGTGAATGTAACAGGGATTGGGTTTTATTTTCGTAAATTTTAATTTTTTATATTGATGCTTATGTTTTTTTTCGTATGAGATATACTATGTATGTGACACTTTTTTGTATGATAACGTTATGTAATTATTTACAACAAAGCCAGTGTCAAGTATTTAAAGTGAAATTATATTTTAAGCGCAAACTTCGGAGACTTTGAAGACGGTCTATATATGAGAAAAAAATAGTCTTTGTAACTGAAGCAATGTTGGGTTTCCAGGACTATAATGACACAGCAATGATATCTGCAGATCTAGTGTGATCTCTCAAGCAGTGGCCAATGATTTTTTTCCTTCATTATATACTGTAATTTTTTTTTCCTTTGTTGTCATGTCCATCTCGTCGTGTCTTGCAGACAAGACGAATCATTATTGTCGTATATTTTCTTGCTCGTCCGTCTTTTTTCCAGCAATAGTAGTTAAGGTTCTCAGCTGCGATGCTTATTTTCCAGAATAGATTCAAAGACTACTAACATAGATTCAAAGACTACTAACATAGATTCAAAGACTACTAACATAGATTCAAAGACTACTAACATAGATTCAAAGACTACTAACATATATTCAAAGACTGGCTTTCTGTGGATAGTGTTCGTGTTGCCCGAACAGTCAGGTTAAGTACTCAGGAGGTAGCTAGTAACTGAATGATAGACCATGTGGAGAACGTACTTCCTGTCT